AATCCTTCTGCTTTCTCATCCCTCGGTGACAACTCTGAATTGGGTAGTTTCCAGTTCCACACAATCTCTCAGAGAGTCCCTAGCAAGATTGAGTCCCAGGGACCCATAACAGTAATCCAGGTGTTATCACACTCTTTATTAGCTCTTCCCTGTCTCATTTCTTCCCTTCCCCACCATGTTTTCTAGGATCACCTCCCAAATAAATTACTTGCATCCATATCTGTGTCTGAGGGCCTGTTTCAGGGAGAACTCAAACTAAGACAAGGTCTGATCAGGGAACATGGAGTGACATCTGTGATAAGAGGAAAACAAGGTGAAGTCAAACCAATAATGAATTCATGGCCTGCTTCTAAAATACTGAACTCTGTATTTTCATGTTTTCTATAGCCTGTCCTCCAGAGGGTAGATAGAGCCCTGCTTTGGAGGAATTTGCCCCACCAGGTAATGGGAAGAGAGGGGGCAATGGGGTAGATTCTAAGAAGGACTCAGAGGGGTCCATACAACTGCTCCCTTCCCTAAATCTTCTAATTTTTCCCTTGCACAATCCAAACTCATTTTATTGACTCCCATACGTTCCTTTCCTGACCCTCTTCTTTGTTCTAGGAACTCTCCATTTCAAAAGCGTTTCCCGGAATATGACTCAGAGATGTCACCACTCAACCAGACCTCAGCCACTTGCTCCCAGGGAACACATTTAACCTCACTCCACCCCCACGAACCCCACTTCTACACAGAATCCCATCACATCTTCTTCAGACCTCTTCAATTTCTTTCCAGCCCCCATTCACATATGCAAACTCTGTTGGGCTACAATAAGCATAATTTCTTTTCTTCCAGTTTTATTGAGACGTAATTCACATACAGCACTGTATATGTTTAAGGTGTACAGCATAATGATTTCCCTTATGTATATCGTAAGATGATTACCACGATAAGTTTAGTGAACACCCACCATCGTATATAGATACAAAAGAAAAAAGAAAAATTTTTTCCTTGTGTGGAGAACTCAGGATTTATTCTCTTAACAACTTTCATATATATTATACAAGTGTTAATTATATTTATCCTGTTGTACATTACATCCCTAGTACTTATTTATCTTATAACTGGAAGTTTGTACATTTTGACCACCTTCATCCAATTCCCCCTCTCCCCACCCTCCACTTCTGATAACCACAAATCTGATCTCTTTTTCTATGAGTTTGTTTGTTTGTTTGTTTTAAAGTATAATTGACCTACAGCACTATGTTAGTCCATGCTGCACAACACAGTGTTCAATATCTCTCTACATTACAAAGCGATCGCTACACGATGCACATAAATTTAATACAGGCTTGGTAAATAGGGGGGTTATGTCAGTATTATAATGTCAACATATCATGAGGTCACATCTAGTTATTACCAGTACGCCAATAGTGTGTGCCCTGAGACACAGCAGCTGACCACAAAACTCACTACAAGCGACAGGATACGGTGTTATGCGTGATGTGCCCATTCGCACCCAGCCCTTTGTCTTAGCTCGGTTTAGCCACGTGCAAAAGAAATAAGCCCGAGACTCAGCCAGAACCATCCCCCAGGGTCATCTCCACAATTCGTGTAGAGCCAGCAGCTGCCTCTTCAGCTGCGGATTCTGAATAAGGAAGAGGAAAAAGCTCCTGTGGACCGGCAGCAGCCAGCAGGGAGAATCCTGGTAGCAGTCCAGACCTAAATCAGAATGTATCTTTAATAAGACCCTCCAGTGAAGCATATGCTCATTTAAGTTAGAGAAGTGCTGCTCTGGGAGGGATGGGAATGGGGCTAGGGAGGGATTGTAATAGCACTAATAAATGACCTGAGATGTCTGACTACGGAGACTGTACTGAGAGACTGTCAAGGGCTGGGAAAAATCTGTGATGGGAACACAGAAAACTAAACAAAGGAAATAAGGTGAACCATTTAACTCCCTCCCTCCCCCATCCCTCTCAAACACAAAAAGTTGTACAGGAAAGTAAATGTAATCATATGTGATCCTCAGCTCCATAAAAATATAGCCACAAAATCATGGTATTGGAAACACTGAACAAAAATGATATATTTCTATTGGTGATATAAAAGAATGGTATTAGTCAGAGTTCTCCAGAGAGACAGGACCAATAGGATATACGGTATACAGATATATAGAAAGAGATTTATTATGAGGGATTGGCTCACGTGATTATAGAGACAAAGAAATCCCACCATCTGCCCTCTGTAACCTGGAGGCCCAGGAAAACTGTTGGTGTAGTTCCAGTCCAAACTCGAAGAACTGTGAACCAGGGGAGCCGATGATGTAAGTCCAGGTCAGAGTCCAAATGCCAGAGAACAAGAAGTGCTAATGTCTGAGGGCAGGAGCTGGAAGTCCCAGCTCAAGCACAGAGCAAATTCGCCCTCCCTGCATCTTTTTATTCTATTCAGGCCCTCAAAGGATTGGATGATTCCCACCTGCATTGGTGAGGACGGTCTCTTCACTTACGGATTCAAATGCTTCTCTCTTCTGGAAACAGCCTCACAAACACACCCAGAAATGACCTTTTCCCAGTTACCTGGGTAGTCCTTAGCCCAGTCAAGTTGACACATAAACTCAGCCACCACAAGAACGAAATCATCACTGCTCATGATAGAGCATCGAAAAGTAATATCTAAAAATGGATTCATCAAGGAATAGCAAGAGGGTTTCCCTGGTGGCGCAGTGGTTGAGAGTCCGCCTGCCGATGCAGGGGACATGGGTTCGTGCCCCGGTCCGGGAAGATCCCACATGCCGCGTAGCGGCTGGGCCCGTGGCCCGTGGGCCATGGCCGCTAAGCCTGCGCGTCCGGAGCCTGTGCTCCACAGCGGGAGAGGTCACAACAGTGAGAGGCCCGCGTACCGCAAAAAAAATAAAAATGCTTTGCATGAATTACTTTGACAGAATAAAAACTACTTCTTAAAAAAAAGGAGTAAGTGGTTGCCTCAGTCAAATGCTGTTGGATGTCAAGTAAAACGAGGAAGAGAATAATCATTGGATCTGACTAATTTATAATATTAGGAAATTTGAATCGTGTGTGGTGAAAAGGGGAGTGTAGGGGGAGAAGCCCTGACATCTTGTCATCGGAGGAGCACATCACACTCCTCAGCCCAAATGGTTTCATGTCTAAGAGGAAACAGTTTATGTTTCTAGGACCCCAGAATAACAGGAACTTGCTCATAGTAGCCCCACATCACAAAGGCACCTAAAAAACAATGGGAGCCATGAAAACTGGGGGCATCTAGAATGTCTGTTCCCTGATTGAGCCTGGACAATTCAGAGATCCTGCCACTGATTGTCCAAAACTGCTAGTTTCTGTCAAAATGACTCAGATATTATCCATCAGAACCTTGGCTGCCACATAATACCCTGAATACCATTTGCTCTCTATTTCCCCAGCTCCTTTCTTTCAGTCTAGCTCTCTTGGGTGCAAGTAAAAGCTCTTCCTCCTGCCCCAAATTTTCCTCTAAGATATTTTGACAATGTAGAGCGAGGGACAGAAGTCTAATCAGAATGGGTTGAGGAGAGGAAACTCATTATCGGTGATATTTTTGAAAGTTAAGCACAGATGGGAGCTGAGAATGAGGCAGGCACATTTCAAACTAGGAAAGCCAAGGACTGGTGGGTGTGATTGAAGCTGCAAATTCTACTTCGGTCTATGTGCTGATACGAGGTCAGAGACCTCAAAGAGCTCAGTTTAGGAGGGGAAGAAAGACTTGGAAACAAAAGACAAAAATAAACATATCTAAACATATCTAAAATAAACAAAAATAAACGGTAGGATTCAGGTCAGATTTGTGCCAGCAAAGAGGGACCAGGAAGTTGTCCATGTCACAGGATAAACCTGGCCCATCTTCCTGGAGAGCTGATTTCACTTGGAGGGGGCAAAGTCTAGCCAGAGTCATATTTTTTTTAAATTTCATGTGTAATGCAGCAAAATGTTTAATTTACTTTAAACATTATAGATAAGACCAAAGACTTCAAAAGTGTTTCTCATGTGAGTTGGACAGACTGAGAGGCTCTGGTGAGAAGAGGCTGAGAGGAAGGAAAGAGGGAGGCCACTAGATCTTACAGCATTTTCTTGACCAGATTAAGGTGCCTGAACTGGGTGTTGGGGTCACTAAGGAGACATGTAGGGATTTTTAAGCAAAAAGTGACAAGATCAGATTTGTATTTGAGAAAATTCATTCTCCTAGCACTCAGGTGGGTCCACTGGAGGAATTATTTTTTGTTGGTCTTAATCATAGTCCCAATTAAAAGGCAAAGAACAAACGGGTGGTGAAGGGTTTTTGCCACACATATAATACAGGGTTGATGTCTTTAATTTCTAAAAAGTTCATGCATTTTGATTAAGAAAGAAAAAAAAAGAGCTCCAGAATCTATCTAGAAAAAAAAAAGGCAATTAGCTCGAAAAATTCACTTCCAGAATATATTAAAGTATATAAACATGAAAAATGACCAGCCTCATTATATAAACGCATTGTGAAGTAATAATTTGGTCAACATTATCCATTCCATTAGTGATGATGAGGAATAATAGCCCTCAATGCTGGCAGGAATTAGGTGAGAAGGACATCTCGGTTGATGGTGTGATAGGCTTGACATTTCAGGAGGAAACTTTGACGATATGTTCATACCATTTGACCTGATGACAATATTTCTGGGAATTCATCAGAAAGTTTATCAGGAAACTATAAAAGATGTGGACAAAGACTTGTGTATAAAGCACACTATTTATAATAGGCAAAAAACTCAAGATGTCCCACAGTCTTGGGAATTATAGGAACCTTCAATATGATATTATGTAGCTATTAACAATGTTTCAAATTATATTTACAAAAGTATCAACAATTCTGCCAGAGGCTGTCATTATTTGCTGACATTATGAGTGATTTCTACTTTCAAAAATATACATATTTTTAAATTTTCCATAACGATAAGGGGTTTAACCCAAAACAAGAAATTGCAGGCCTCATGAATTGCTTTTAGGGAAGTAGCTTTGGTAGAGAGACAACTTTGGGGCCCTGAAAACTGAAACACACAAATGTATTCCTAGCCTATCTTTAATTTTCAACTCACATAAATAATAATAGAATAACAACTTTCTCTCTTCTAAATCCCTATTATATGCTAAGCACTTAACATGCTTAATCTCATTTAATCCTTGCAACACCACTCCAAAGAAGGTATTATTAACAATACTCCCATTTTACAGATAAAAGAACTGAGGCTTGGAGAGGTGAATTAACGGCCCAAGGCTTTACATTTTCTTTTAGTGTTTTCTTGAATCCTCTTTCTTTTTTGCCCTGTCCCCTTCTGTTTAGCCCAGGTCATCAATGCATATCCTGATTTCTCAGCTGAAGACCACAAATCCACAGACCTTTTCCTCTCTAGAAAACTTTTTTTTTTTCCCCAAAGTAAATACATCAGGGACCTGGGGGCAGGCTTTCCTGAGAGCACTTCCCCCTTCCTCCTCCTTTAACTTTTGCCCCTGGGGCCACAACCAACTTTCTCATTTGGTAGCAGAAGCTTGTTGGTGCCTTTTCCTCCAACATCAGAGGTCAGTATCTGGGATTACTCTCACCCCTTGAGAGAGCCAGCAGCCAGGAGGCATTTTCTCTCCCCCTGGCTCCTTCCTCCCTAGTCCTAGGCCCTCTACTCTTCAAGCCCTTTAGCTCTCTTCAGCTCCCCTTTCTTGTTCTATCTGCTCCCAATCTTTCTTCCTTTCTCCTCCAACTTATTCCCCTGGTCTCCATCTCTACCTCCATCACTGTATCTTGACTATCATTGCTAAAAGCAAATGCCAAATTACTGTATTTGAAAGAAGAGGTTTTTTAGGGCAGTGGTTCCAAGGTTCTTCTATTTATATGAAACCCATTAATGGGTACTATGCCTCACAATTCCCTTATCCTAAGTCTCTCTTGGGGATTCAGGGCCCATTTTGTTGTTTTATACAGACAAGATTGACCAGACTTAGGGTGGTCGGTGAGAGCGTGCTGAGGGCCGCCTGGACTGAAAGTCTGCCCTGTGGGGGGAGGTAAGGAGGAAGCTTCAGGTGCAAATGACTCTTTCCAAGTTGGAAAGAAGTGCTGGGAGGACGCTGGGAGAACAGTGTCTCAACAACCCATAGCTATCTCCTATCCGTTCATCTGTCTCCTAGGTTGAAGCTCCTGACAAACTCCAGTCCACCAGCATCTTGCTGCCCACAAAGGCTGGAGATGGCAGTCTTCCCAAACTCCTGTCTCCCTGGGTGTCTGCTCGTCTTCATTCTCCTCCAGGTGCCCGAGCTGGATTCTGGTAGGTCTCCCCTGTCTCTCTCTCTCTCTCCCTCTCTCTCTCTCTCTCTCTCTCTCTCTGGCCTACAAGGTTGAAATTTCTCAGTAATTGTAAACAATCCCATTTGGTTCTCCTTAGCGACTTCCATAAGGGTCGAGATGGGCTCCCTTGGGCTGTCGTAGGAATAAGAGAAATGGTGGGAGAGTCTCCGCCCTTCGGCGGGATCCTGGTCTGTATCAGTCCTCATCTCCCACCTCCACATTCTGTCTGACCCTCCTGGTTTTTTGGCAGCTCCCTTTGACGTGATTGGACCCCCGGGGCCCATCCTGGCGGTGGTGGGTGAAGATGCCGAGTTGCCCTGTCACCTCTCCCCCAACGTGAGCGCCGAGCGCATGGAGTTGCGGTGGTTCCGAGAGAAGATCTCTCCCGCGGTGTTCGTGCGCCGGGAAGGGCGAGAGCAGCCCGGAGAGCAGATGGCCGAGTACCGGGGGAGAGTGACGCTGGTGGAGGACCGCATCGCGGAGGGGCGCGTCGCTGTGAGGATACAGGACGTCAAGGCCTCTGATGATGGGGAGTACCGATGCTTTTTCAGGCAGGACGAAAACTACGAAGAGGCCACCGTGCCTCTGAAGGTGGCTGGTGAGTAGACCGGTTTTGACTTTCTCCGGTGACTCCATGAGGGATATATTTTCCTATGGATCTGTTATTTGGAAGCCATCACATTCATTCCCCAAATCCCTTTTAGGCTGGAAGAGGTTGGCAGGCCTAGGGTAGGAGATGAGTAGGAAGGGGGTTTGAGTTGACAGTGGAAAGGGAGCAGCGGAATTACCTTTCTGGACGGAGCTTTATTTCAATGATGTCCTGCCCTTCTCTCTCAATTATAGCATAAGCATTTCCCCATGTTATTAATTAAAGAAGTGTAAGATGCAGTGACTGTATAACATTCTCTTCTATTAATAGACCATAATTTGCTTGATCAAAGCCCAGAATGAACCATTTCAGTTGTGTCTATTTTTCACCATTACATTAAGGCTGTGGTGAGCAACCTCAATGCATACTTTGACGCCGCTTCATGGATTAGTACCCAAAGGCCAATTTCCTAAAATCATGGAGCACGGCTGCTTGTTAAGGGTCTTGATCTACCTACAAAAGTTTTTGTTTTTGTTTCCTTTTTCCTTTCAAGCCAAATTTCAGAGTAAAACAACAAGGAAAATGGTAAACACTCAGGAGGAAAGTATACATTGAGGTCTGACTTTCCCACTTGGCATCAAACAGATCTCTTTCTGAGCTATATTTCCTACTGTAAAACTGGGAAAGCACCACCTCTCAAGCAAGGTTTTGCAGAAATGAAATGAAATGAGACAATATATGAGAAACTGCTTGGTCAATTCTAAAAGCATTATGTACTTGTAAGATATTATTACTGTGCCTCGACTGCCCTACAATGTATAATATACAACTATATTGCTTTTCATGTATGTAGTCAAATAAATATAAAGTTTGAAAAATACCTGGGTGAAATCTGGGTCCCTGCCTCATAACAGAGTGCCCCACGTGGCAGCATCATATATAACTCATATATATTTCCGTTTTAGGGAAGTATCTTAAAGGTTGGTTATAAAGCCCTAGAGATTTGATAGCATAAACTGTCATTGTTACCTTTTCTGAGTGATAGACACCTTTGAGAATCTGCTGAGGGTGGTGGCCCTTTTCATGAAAAGAATACACATTTTCACGTACACGCACGACTTGGTATATGGATTTCAACCAATAGTTGTGGATATGTGTTTAAGAACTCTTCTCTGAAGCTAGCTGTTTTTCTGTACTTTGTGGGATTGTAAGAAAATAATTAGGCTGAACAGAAAGGAAAAACAGCTTCCTGTTGATTTACGTCAATTTAATTGGGGGGTGGGGGTAGATGAGGTTGAGATCGATCAAGAAAATTCCTGAATCAGTATCACAGGTAAGTGAAACTTAAATTGTCAACTACAATCTCAGTGCAAAGAACCTCCAATCCCCCTTCTCCTCAAGGATACTCCTTCTCTGTTTATCCTTACATTCTCAATCCTAGCCCTTTTCCTACCCAAAGCCTTCTCATGATACTTGCAACCACAGAGCTCTCTCCCATCTCTGGAGCTCCCAGCCTAGACTCACTAACCCACCCCTAAGCCACTGGGCTTGCTGTTCCCGCTGACCGGACCCCTTGTCTGTCCACCATCTCCTGCCCACAATTCCAACACTAAATCCCAACACAGCACCCCTGTCTGATAAGATGTATTCTTTTATTGATACCTCTGTTTCCTTGTGTAATAAACTATGGAGATGAGTCCCCCTCATCCCCAGTTCCCTTGGGTTTCTCTTTCTCAAACTACATAGTCCTGTGGTTATAAGCCTCCCAGAAGGATGTCCGCTAAAGGAGTAAGTTGTCTCCTTTCTCCATAGCTCTGGGCTCTGATCCTCACATCCACATGGAAGTTCAAGAGAGTGGAGAGATCTGGCTGGAGTGTACCTCAGTGGGATGGTACCCAGAGCCCCGGGTACAGTGGCGAACTCCCGAGGGAGAGGAGTTTCCATCCGTGTCAGAGTCCAGGAACCCTGATGAAGAAGGTCTGTTCACCGTGGCAGCTTCAGTGATCATCAGGGACACCTCCATGAAGAATGTGTCCTGCTGTATCCGGAACCTCATTCTCGGCCAAAAGAAGGAAGTAGAGATTTCTATACCAGGTCAGTGAAATCAGTGCTAGGTTCCTTTTTGACACAGCTTCAGGGCCACATCACATGGGACACCTGCCCGGCTGTAACCTCATGGCAGACTTGTCTATTTTCCTCACCTTAAGTTTTCCCCCACCTAAACTCTTGCCCACCAAGCCCCACCAGCCTCACTAGAAGAGTAGAGATTCTGAAGGCATAAATTTTACCTAGATCTCATACAAATTCCAGATTTTCTATCTTGGGAGATATATCTTGGTAGAGAAGCTTTGTCTCTGGGCGGGGGGGGGGTCTTCTGGATCTAACTAAATTAGTTCTCCTGTTTCCACCCTTGCCTTGCCTTCCTCCCCATTCCATGCTAGAGCTCTGTCTAACTTTCCAGGGTCCTCAGGGAAGCAAATCTTCTCATTATTCCTTACACACTATCTCTGGTTCAGGCAGGAACTTTTCCCTATTCTTTGGTCATTGAGTCCCATTCTGTTGCACTCAGATGTGATATTTCCCCTTCCTTATTTACTTCCCTCAACCCCTTGGCTCCCATCCTGCATTGATAGCTAAGGAGAAATTTCCATGAAAACAGGAATTGGTCCATTATATTTTTTATCTCACAGGTCCTGTCCCCAAATGACTCTTGTTCATCTTCATTCCTCTCTTTCTCTGCTCTCTGTTACCTAAGATCAAAATTTATCTGAAAAGCTCAGAGTGGCATTGGAGGGACTATTTTGCCATGGGAGGAATGTGAGAGGTCCAGGTCATCCTCTCTTCCACCCCCTTTTGGAGTCAGGAGAGGAGCTGGACTTGCTCTGAGCTTCTCAACAAATGTCCTTCTTGGGGATTTTGTTTTAGCTCCCTTCTTCCCAAGGCTGACTCCCTGGATGGTGGCTGTGGCTGTGGTCTTGATGGTCCTAGGACTTCTCACAATTGGGTCCATATTTTTCACTTGGAGACTATACAAGGAAAGATCCAGACAGAAAAGGCATGAATTCAGCTCTAAAGGTAAGTCATAGAATCCCAGTCTTCTTTTTGGGAATGCTTCCAAGTGGGGTTGGATCCAAGTCCTTTAGGATGACTGCCAATGGGAAGATAATTGATTCTAGAATTCTGAAAGTCAGAGGGGATTATAAGGCTCCTGAAGTCAGTGGCACCCAATATGAAGAATAACAGAGGTTTGGGGTACAAGACGAGTCAAAACCAGTTCTGAGAGAATAGACCTGATGTGTATTCACTACTCACCTTCAGACTCTATCCTTACTTTTAACTTGGTTTCCCAGTAACGACTAAAGATCTGATCCCAAGCCAGTAGGAACTTCCTGCATATTTCTTAGAAAACAAAACATAATCCCCGTTCTTCATTTATTGATAATGCTTCAACAATCAGGTAGTCATGAAGTAAACAGTTACTCCTTTGTGTGTTTCTTACACCTGTTTTGTCCCCTCCCTCATGCCCACTCTAGAAGGTCACTAAGGTATTTCTGTTTGTTTTGCAGAAAAACTCCTGGAAGAGCTCAGTAAGTTCTATCTTCTTCTAATTATTTCATCCACAAGGTTTTCTCTCTCTTATTATAAAACGTGTCAATAACAGTCTTTCCCCCCTCCCCCCTTGCAGAATGGAAAAAGGCTACATTGCATGCAGGTCAGTGACTCTAAATATCTCAAGGGCTCCGAGGAGCTACCTTTCAGGGATTCAAAGTCCTACAGTACTTGGAAATAAAAACCACTAACATATTGTAGTGATGGGGATATAGAGGGGAAAGACGATGGCAAATGGCCTCAACGTTTTCCTTGAGGCACACAGAGGGTCCTTGGAAGAGGGCTAGAAGACAAGTCCCCTCTGACAGGGTCCCATGGGGCACTGGGGACAGTCAGTTCATACATCACCCTGTGGCTGTGGATGGAAGATGGGACTAGAGACAGCTGAGCAGGCCAGGCAGCTCTCTTCCGGAGGAGACCTGTCAACTGCTAGAGCAGTGTCCCACTTCTTTCAACCTTTAACATTCACTGATATTCAGACTCACTTTCTCTCTGTCTCTAGTTGATGTGACTCTGGATCCAGACACCGCCCACCCCCACCTCTTTCTGTATGAGGATTCAAAATCTGTCCGACTGGAAGATTCACGTCAGAAACTGCCTGAGAAACCAGAGAGATTTGACTCCTGGCCTTGTGTGTTGGGTCGTGAGGCCTTCACCTCGGGGAGACATTACTGGGAGGTGGAGGTGGGAGACAGGACTGACTGGGCAATCGGGGTGTGTAGGGAGAACGTGATGAAGAAAGGATTTGACCCCATGACTCCCGAGAATGGGTTCTGGGCTGTGGAGTTGTATGGAAACGGGTACTGGGCTCTCACCCCCCTGCGGACCCCTCTCCCATTGGCGGGACCCCCCCGCCGAGTTGGGATCTTCCTGGACTGTGAGTCAGGAGACATCTGCTTCTACAACATGACTGATGGATCCCATATCTATACTTTCTCTAATGCCTCTTTCTCAGGCCCCCTCCGGCCCTTCTTCTGCCTGTGGTCCTGTGGTAAAAAGCCCCTGACCATCTGCCCAATCACTAATGGGCTTGAGGGAGTCACAGTAGTTGCTGATCCCAAGGACCTTTCTAAGGACATCCCACTCTCGCCCACAGGGCAGGACTCTGCCTCTGGGGATACAGACACCCTCCATTCTAAACTGATCCCTCCCCAGCCCAGCCAACGGGTACCTTAAGGAATACCCCAGCTCAACCACTTCCCTTCGCTCTTACCCCCTTCTCTATCACCCCCTGGGGCTTCATCTGCCAGCTGTACCCAGCCCCTGTTTCTTCCTGTTGGGTAGGGATTAATTAATCTTGAAAAGGTTGTGTTGCTGCTGATAGAGTGTGGGGTGTAGGACCTTCCTAATCTGTTTCCGTTTCTGTTTCAACATTCAGGGGGCGGAGAGGGGACTCCAACCACTTCTCGCGTTCTCCTGGCCCTTGAGGCAAAGCCTATAGGAAGGCACTTGAAGCTCAGGGATCAAGATGGGCTTAGGCTGGCCTAGGGTTGTGACAGAAACATCTTGGTGTCCAGAATAGGAATATGTACAGGAACAGGTTTTAGGCAAGCAGAAAACCCAAAGGATCCTGGGAAGGGAAGATCCGAGGCTGAAATCCCATAACGGAACTTGCGGGGGAAGTCATGATAGAAGAAAGTGAGGTGAACCCAGGCCATTGATGGACATCTGGCCTGCCCCTAGAGTTTTAGGGCCTATATGTCAAATTTTTTAAGTCATATCCCCTGGGGTGGATCTGAGCAATTGGCAAGGAGAGTAAAGAAGAGATGAAATGAGCAGGGCTAAGGGATCAGACAGAACGTTTGATAGAGGGGAGAATTTTAGATAAAATTCAAAGGTTGTGTTCACAGCCATGCCTCGGCCCTGTTCCCCTCTCTGCACCCGTGTTTCTCCCTTGCCTGGGGCTCATCTCAACCTCACTTTGTTGACTCCACAAGTCTCAGGTTCTCTTCTTCTTTTTGATCTAGAATCTCTCCATTTCAGAGGCATTTCCAGGCATCATCGTTCAGTAAGATCACCACTTTATCAGCCATTGTCTCAGCCTCAACCCAACATTTGGTTTAGACCCTCCACCATACCTTTAATTAGCTTCGACCACCACCCACTTCCACACTGCACCACCAGTCGCTCCCTCCCCACCCAGCTTTCCTACACGCTGCTTCTCCTCAGGGTTCCCTGAAGGCTGCACCATTGTGTCAGCACAGCTGGATTGATCGCAGTTGTCTGTATTTGCATTTTCCTATATATGTGTGTCTTGTCTTCCCAATAGACTGCATATTTACCCAGGCTCCAACCTTCCATTTCCACTGGGTTTTCCAGTTTCCAGGATAGATGTCGCCCATGGTCTTAACCTAATAAATAGGTCTGTCTGATTGCTGAAAACAGCATCTGCACCTTCCTTTCTTTATCCCAACAAGTGGAACTGAAACAAAAACAGAGGAAAGAAACCTGCGTGGGAATGCAGTGAGCCAAAGCAGTGTGGTTCTGTTTATCCAAGACCCATCCCCAGACCTGATGGCAGTGGGCTCACCAGGGAAGGGGCTATTGTCCCAGGACTGTCCAGCTATTTACAATAAGGCCACAGTGCCAATGGCTACCCGCCCTTAGCCTCTGGAGGAAATGTTTGGGAAATTTTAGTGGTGGTGCCTCATAATTGGAAAAACAAACAAACTTGGGTGATCTTTAAACCACCATTCCAGAGGAAAGGCCCTTTGGATTCCTAGTCTGAAGGCCCTGATAGTTCAGTGAGATGCCCACTTTTCCCTATTTGCCCCAAGCAAGAATCAGGAATAGTCCCCCTCACAGAGGGTCTGACCTTAATGCAAATCAAGCAGTTTACAGGCTTCCCTGGTGGCGCACTGGTTGAGAGTCCGCCTAACTATGCAGGAAACACAGGTTCATGCCCCGGTCCGGGAGGATCCCACATGCCGCGGAGCGGCTGAGCTCGTGAGCCATGGCCGCTGAGCCTGCGCATCCGAGCCTGTGCTCCACAACGGGAAAGGCTATAACAGTGAGAGGCCCACATACCGGAAAGAAAAACACGTATTCATTTGTGTTCAAATTGTACTTTTAGAAAGTAAAAAAGTTCAAAAAACAAAGAAACAAGTTCAAGAAACAAAGTCCGAAGTTCTTTAAAAATCCTTGAGAACCTCAAGCAGTTGTTTTGCTAGTGTAATGTACAATGTGTATCCTGAAATGTATATGTAAAATCTCACTCCGAATAGATGGGACTGCCACGGGAACCCCTCTCTGACAGTAGAAAGAGAACTCGTCATAGGTTTTAATTACTTCTGCGACTTCTCTCCCCTTCCTATTTCTTCATGATCTTCCTATTTCTTCATGATCTTCCAGGAAAATGGTTACCAAACACAGTACTGAGCTGGTAGTAGATTCTTAGGAAACATCTGTGTCCACCCCCCTCCCAGGTTTAGCCTCTTCTCATGAGGCACTTATCTGATGAGCTCTGAGGCTTTCTTTCCAGCTGGCACCAGCTACCAGTGCCTGGAAGAAATGAACAGTCTTGGTCATTCTGGCTTTATTTTCAAACCTTCCAAAAGAGAAGAAAGGTGGCCTTGCTGATGCTTTGCCAAAGCCCGTCTTAATCACCTGAAGCAGAATCGGTGATACTGTGATTTTAGAAGCACCAAAAAGGCGTCTCTTCCACCACTGCAAATAATTGTAGTATTTCCAAGGCCTGATTTTCTTTTTTAACCAGAAACAAAAACCTCTCACCCCACAGCTAAAGATCAGCCCCAAAACGCAAATGCTACTGAAATGATAGTGATAGACTTCATTTCACACACCAAATGCCAACTCTGGTCATCACATGTTTGAAAGGGCCTGCCTCTCTTTAACAGAGATTCTGTGAGATAGTTGAGCTCAGACATTCAAATTAAGAGAAAAATAACTGTACAACTTCTATCATCCCTTAACAACAACAACTGTTCCGCGCCATCTCTCTGCATATCCCAATTTATCTATCTGTCCCTTCTGCCTCCAGACCCACTCAGGTCTCCTCAAAATTCCTTCTCAAAACCTCTGAGTCCACTCCCAACCACATGCACATTTACTCTCATTCTAAAATTTAAAATGGAAATAGCCTTTTTCCTTGAATACATATGGAAGTTCATTTAAAAAAATAATGATCAAAATCTCATCACTCAAATATAACCGATGTCAAAATTTGGGTTTATCCTCTCCTTAAAAAAAAAAAAAACCAACAACAAAAAAACTATATCTCCATGGTTTAGTTCTAAGGACCTAAACTAAATTCTCTTTGAGGAGTGTTCCATACCAATTAGAAACTCTTTGTGGTGCAGATCTGGTAGCTTTGCTGGACATAAACAGAGATTTAGGAAAGCCATAAGAATTAATGGAAGATAAAGCGATACACTTGTAGAAAGTGAAAGGCAGAACTGGTCTCCTTTTGAGAACAGTATAACATCCATACAGAAAAGTCCACAAATCCTCAGTGTACAGCTAGATAACTCGGAACAAGAAGCAAGACACCCGGACACCCTTACACCGGTCCCCAGGGTAACCCCAGCGGGGAGATTTACAACAGAAAGGACAGGAGGGAGGAATGAGCGAGCGCCCGAGAGGGCTGGGCCTCGGCGAGCACCAAACTGAATAAATAGCCTAAAACCTCCTGGGAGCAGGTGTCAATTTAAGTAAGGCAACTTCAGCAACGTGGGTGCCATTATTTGAACAAGAATTCTGTCGAGAATGGAGAAAAAGTTCCCTTACTCTTGGGTACCCAGGCCCGCGCCGCCACGCCCGCGGCAGCCTGGAATCGAATCCGCTTTCATGCAGAAGACGCCCCCCGGCGGCCCCGGCAACCCGGCACTTATCCTGCGCTTCCACCCACGGTCGGCGTCCGGGTCCGTTCGCAAACTTGTGGTTTCGCTTTTTAACCGAAGAATTTCCACATCCTCAGGGAAAAAAAAAAAAAAAAAAGTTAACTAGCGTTGAGGTAGACACGGAAATGAAATCCGAGTGTCTCTTGCGAACAGCGAGTCAGGATGGCCGAGCGGTCTAAGGCGCTGCGTTCAGGTCGCAGTCTCCCCTGGAGGCGTGGGTTCGAATCCCACTCCTGACAGTTCGCTTTTCAAACTATTCAACGATTGTATTCAACATGGAAGAATGTTCACCTCGTGGATTCATCCTTTTTTTTCTAAAATAAATTATCCGAAATAAAAAAATTAAAATATTTTAAAAAAAGAATGAAAGCACTCTGTACCCAGAACACAATTTAAGATCTAGTCATTGTAATCTCATCTCCTTTCACTGTCTCTAGTTGTCTGTCCCTCTCTCTCTCCTTCACATTCAAGGAGTCGAATGAATGTTACTCCTCAATTATTTATCACTGATGTCCACAGGGCCCTTCATTTGTTTTATTTATTTATGGATTCCTTTTTAATTGCCTTTCAATTTCATTTTTCGTCTCCCACCCCCATAAGAAATCACTGGAAAGATCATCCTTTTCTTTCTTGCTATATGTTTTTGTAGAACATGTATTTTTGGTTTCGGTACATGCGTTTTTAATTACATAAATGACACTGTGTCATATATCTCATTCTATTTTTACTTTGTCCCTTTCATGCCACAGTTTTTTTTGTGTGTGTGTGCCAGTTTTTCAATCTGTGTTGCTGTGCGTACCTCTAGACCCCATCTAGAACTATTATTTTTAATTATTGCACAGAGGTCTGCAGTGTGTGTCCTCACCCAGGGATGACTCCCAGATTAGGTCCAACGCCCTCCCACCACAAATAAGGGTGCTATCAATGAACATCTTCCTATGTATTACATTATGAAGCTGTGTAAGATTTTCTGCAGGATTGACTTGCAGGTCATGAGGGTCTGAGAGTTTACAAATTTTGCAGTTCAGAACAGCACCCAGGACCCAGGACCCAGGAAGGGAGATTTAGACACACACAAATTCATGTTTAGTGACATCTCCAGAAACATCCCTCAAATTCAGTTTTCCTGACGTCCAGCCCGCTTATTTTGAGCATTAATACTACAGTTACAAATATTAACCTAGTGTTTCTATTCTGAACTCAGAACTTGGATAGTGAATATTATTTGTACATAATTTATTGCAAAGCCCCCCAAAATCAAAAACCTCAGGTGACTGGAATTTTCTCCTCTCCATTCCTTTTTTTAAAAAGAAATCTAATCTAATAACAGGTTACAAAGGCAGAAAATAGGGTGAATGTCTTATGATTATTGATATTTAGAATTGTTCTGCCCTCTCTCTCCTCTAAATTCCTCAGAACTCACAGAAAGGTTCATACATGCACTGAAAGAAAAGTGAATTGGTATGTCTTAGAAAGATGGTCATTAGCAAGGCTAGAAAAGAACAAACAAATGAAGTTTCCCTTTATTGCCTAGGTGACCACATATTGTCCATTTCTGCCCATTTAGGGTCCCCACGTGGGCCCTGGAAACATGAGAAAGGAGGAAACGGCAAATAGGCACAACTCCTAGGGTAATAGGAGAAGCACTCAGAAGTGCCTGGAGGGTCACTAGGTGGGTCCAACGCTATTCAGGCTACCTGGGCTCTGCCACTTACGAGCTATATGACCTTCCAGGCAAATGACTTCGTATCCCTTGCCTTGGTGACTTCCTCTTTAAAATGGAGGAAATAATTGAAACTTACCCCATATGTATGCTGTGAGATTGCATGATTTGGTATATACAAAGTGCTTGGCAAATAATAAAGGCCTGATAAATCCCAGGCATAAATGCCTAACAAATCTTTTTGTTGTTGTAATTGAGCACCCACTGTTTGCCAACGCCTGTGAACAGGACAGGTGCAGCTCCTACCCCGAGGAATAGACATGTCGGCAGCAAAAACAGGTATGGAGCAAGTAGATGAGTGTTGCTACCCAGGAAGAAATGGGAAATAAAGACCCTTTTAGCTGTACATCTCCATAGGAGAATCTCAGCAGCCCAGCTAGAGGTCCCACTTAATCCACAACTTGTAAATTCAAGTTCCATCCATACTGCTTTGGTAATGTATGGTCTTTTCAAAAGAAAACACAAAACACTTGAGACTTATCAACTGTCAAACCAAGTCCAGCTGTGGTTTTCTTGATGCCATAAATCAGCAATTCCCAACCTTTTTGGCACCAGGGACTGGTTTCGTGGAAGACAGTTTTTCCAAGGAGGGGGGCGCGGGATGTTTTCGGGATGATTCGAGTGCATTACCTTTATTATGCACTTTATTTCTATTATTATTACATTGTAATATATAATGAAATAATGATACAACTCACCATAATGCAGAATCAGTGGGAGCCCTGAGCTTGTTTTCACTTGTCAGTCACTGATAGGGTTTTGATATGAGTCTGCAAGCAATTGACTTATTATGGTGTCTGTGCAGTCAGACCTCTCTGCTAATGATGATCTGTATTTGCAGCCGTTCCCCAGCGCTGGCATCACCGCCTCAGCTCCTCCTCAGACCAACAGGCGTTAGATTCTCATAAGGAGTGCCCAACCTAGATCCCTCACTTGTGCAGTTCACAGTAGGGTTCGCGCTCCTATGAGAATCTAATGCCGCTGCTGATCTGACAGGAGGCGGAGCTCAGGCAGTAATGTGAGCGATGGGGAGCGGCTGTAAATACAGATGAAGCTTTACTTGCTCGCCCGCCACTCACCTCTTGCTGTGCAGCCCAGTTCCTAACAGGCCACGACCGGTACTGGTCCGTGGCCCGGGGGTTGGGGACCCCTGCCACAAATTATGAGGATGCCTATGGGCCTATGGTCATCGCCAGGCAAAGAAGAATTTCAAGATCTGTACACCCCATTCTCTAGTTGCTTCCGCTTACCTGAACTGAGCGTCCTCTT